CAGACAACCCCGTGACAATATGCGTTTTGTAACGCTGTTACACAGCACAAAACGCATAAAAAGGAACGGAGGTAGAAATGCGTATCGATTTGGACCTATGAACAGTGCCGAAAGTTGTGTATACGAGAATGCCGATAGCGCTTTTATGGTAGTTACATGTAAAAAGGGGAGATCGGATCTGAGCACAAGACATTTAGACGTCCGAAAAAAGGGGAATCGAAGCACTAAATCTCTGTTTATCAAATTAAAATGAGTAATTTAAAAGGGTGAATTGAAAAGGAGAAAAAAATTTTTCCTGTTTGAACAGAAAAAGGGACTGCAAAAATTTCAGGTCTAATAACAAGACCACGCTTTTCGCAACAAGAAATGGTTGGGAGCGGGGCTGTGGGGCGAAAAGACTCATCAGGTCATGCTGCTAGCAAAAAAGTACAGAAAATGAGTTCATCCGATGCACCGCTCAGTCCGGGAATCGTCGCTGGCGTCGTATCCACATATCTCGATGATGTACTGAATCGACATGCTGCTCATCTGCTCGAAGATTGCAGCATTCGAGATCTAGGTTTGTCGTTTATTTTGACTTGGGTTAGATAAATTGGTACCTTAATACTTCGGACAGCTTCGGTTCGAAGTCTGATCCTCTAGCTCTCCATCTGGTAACTTTTTCAGTTTTTCTGACCAATGCTACATTGTCTGGTAGTCAGCCTGCTGATGACCCTGAAATCCATTTCGTCACCTGAAGGGATTAACCAATTCGATGATTCACTGTTCTCAAAACCCCATTGAAAAGGCTTTAGATGTTTGGAAATGTCATTGGTGTCTGTTGAGCATCACCATCTCATCCCGAACGTTACCGCTTCAGGATCATGATTCTTTAATATGGACACTCGATAGATTTATAAAGTGTTTTCTTGATAATATATGTGAAACGGTTACGATTTTATCTCGAATATTCATTAGTGCTACAGCAGACAACCATAGTATGATTCTGAAATTTTGTATCAGAATTGAAGTCAGTTGTTACCCGTGTTGTATCGGAAGGAATTATTGATGAACATCACTTTTTCGGATTAAGATTGTAAGATTGTGGTAAAAATATATGTGTATGAAGCGTAAAAATATAAAAATTAATTTAAAATTTAATTTTTAGAAATTAGCATAAGAAAATGTAAAAATAAATTTTAGAGAAACACCGTTTTTTTCGGGTTTTGTTTGCATTGAAATGAAGGCTGTGGTAGTGATATATGTAAAAAAATAAAAATATAAAAGTTGATTTAAAAAATAATTTTTAGAAGTTAACATAAAATTTATAAAAATTGGAATATATGAAAATTAATGTTTGATGGGCACTGTTTTTTCGGATATTTTTGGTTTGAAATTAAGACTGTAGCGGTGACATATGTAAAAAATAAAAACATAAAAATTGATTCAAAAACTAATTAATCAGGGACGGGAATGTTTCGGTCCATTAAATCGTATACATTTTTATTCAGCACCACAACTGGACAGGATAGTTTTGACATAGTCTTGACGCTAGTTTTGACACATTTCTAGGTGCATTTGCGGCGCATCTTAATTTCGATTTGGCTGGTTGGTTGCAAAATCAACAAAGTGGCAGTGCAACAACACATATTGGTGATTTTGCACTGGCGCTGATGCGTCTGCATGCTCAATTCAAATGGCCCTACCCGTTGGTCAGTCAGGATATCGTTGAACAGCTAACAAAACGAATCGAGGGCATCAAAATTTCCTCAAGCACCTCTTCACTGGACAGCTTGCAGTGTAAGTTTGACTCTGCATTACCAGACAGCTTCATTTAATTGGTGTAATATTTTCGAAAAGTTGCATTAATCCTGGGCGGAAAGTCGATGGTTGAGTTTTGTTCTATGTTGGCCCCCGGCCAACACCGAAGCCTACAAATACCTAGGCGTAGAGCAACGACTACTGGCCACGGATCGAGCTATCGAGCGATTCGAACAAGCTCTGATTGCAAAGGCCGAAGTTATCTTCGGCAGCAATCTTACTTGGGGCCAAATGATCCGTGCGTATAGCTCGGTTACGGTGGCCGGTGCTGTTCACTTCTTTCGATGACTGATTGGAACTTGATATGCCAAGAAATCGGGCAAAAAGTTTATTTAGAAGTAGATTTTGGAAAAATTTTTACTGAAAATTTGGCCTTTTATTTAGTTTTTCCTTTAAAAATTGGTTGTGGCTTGCAATAATTTTTGTCGAGAAGTCGAAAAATCGAAATTTTCCTCTTGTTTCACTTGATATAAGGGACAAAAACTGCTGCAAAAGTTCTTAGTTTTCATTTTTTTCCCATTTTAACAGTTCTGAATTATTTGTAGCTCTGTCAGTATCTACATGCAATACATATGTTCCGGACGATACGCTAATTGCTATTTCAAATCCAAGTACACCTATCGAGGAACGTGAGGGTATTTTATTTTTTTGAAAGTTGGAAATTTCTTGTGTCAGGAAATTTGAGTTAA